ACACACACACGCACACACACACGCACAGTTCTAAGAACTGGTGAGCATCTCAGTCCCCTCTCTTGGAAACACACGCACGCACACACACACACGCACACACACACACGCACACACACGCATGCACAGTTCTAAGAACTGGTGAGCATCTCAGTCCCCTCTCTTGGAAACACACGCACACACGCGCGCACACACACACACGCACACACACACGCACACACACGCATGCACAGTTCTAAGAACTGGTGAGCATCTCAGTCCCCTCTCTTGGAAACACACGCACGCACGCGCGCGCGCACACACACACTCACGCACACACACACACGCACACACACGCATGCACAGTTCTATGAACTGGTGAGCATCTCAGTCCCCTCTCTTGGAAACACACGCACGCACGCGCACACACACACACACGCACACACACACAGACTTTTTGTCAATGCTGAAATGTGCAGCACACAATTTCATTCAACACTGTACTTAATATAAATCCCATGCTGCCAGGTGATTCTTATGCAACTCTTTCTTCAAGTTTTGCTAAACTGTATAACTAGGCTGTTCACACATGGGCAGAGATCCAATAAAAAAGAAAAAGAAAAAAGGGACGGGGGAAGCCGGGTGCTGCTGATGGCTCACACCTGTAATCCTAGCTACTCAGGAGGCTGAGATCTGAGGATGGTGGTTCAAAGCCAGCCTGGGCAGGAAAGTTCGTAAGACTCTTATCTCCAATAAACCACTAAAAAAACTGAAAGTGGCGCTGTGGCTCAAGCGGTGGAGTGCTCACCTTGAGCACAGGGACAGCACCCACGACCAAAAAAAAAAAAAAAGCAGGGGTGAGGGGTGGGAGGAGACTAGATATTTCCATTCACTTCAGAGAGTAGGACAGAAGTGAACAAATAAGCAGCGGAGACTTATATCCCAACTTCATTCCTTCTTCAATAACAAGAATAAACTGCTCAGTGAGGTAGTATTTTTTGATAGTAGAAGAATATTCTCTCTCTTTTTTTCTTTTGGAGCTGTGTATTCGCAGCTATGGCCTTCGGGGGCTGTTTCATTAATCTGTATTCTTAGCATGTTCCTGGCACTTTCTTAAGCCTTATAACGAACAGAATGGGAGGTCAACCGTGAGGTTTCCGGTATGCTGGCTCCCCCCTGGTCTTCCTCTGTGGGTGGGGTTGTTGGATGGGGTCTGCAAGAGCTGACAGATGACACTGGGGTGAAGAACTTGATTAGCATCTCATTACTCTGCCTGCTATAAAAGTACCTAGAAGCAGGTGACCACAATTGGTAACTGGCACATGTAGTCATTAGAATATGATGAGCTGTGACTAGTGATTACCTTTGTTTTTTAAAATGATTTATTTACCAGGGAGGTCATAGAATATACTTGTTAACAATGGCGACCTTTGACAGCTGGCTCAAAAACCCCAGAGGCAATGGGAAGTAGTTCTAAGTACCCTGCTCTGGCTTGGAACATAGAAGCATCCAGGCCTCAGCCTCAAAGAAGCCCGGGTCTCCTTCCTCTCTTGGCCACAGACACCTGGTTCTGGGTCACCAGCTGCCTTGATGAGTTTCTCACAGGTGTGAGGATGCGTCAGTGTGAGCGTTACCCTGTCGTGCTTTCTCCCATTACCAAACACCACCCACAGCCCGGTTCAGAGGCACACAGGCCGCAGGGAAGACAGGGGCAGCATCTTCTGAGGTACAAGTTACACCAGAGTCCCTAGAGTCACGCCCCCACCTAGCAGCCACCTGAGGATCTGTAGACTGGCTGGAGAGGTTGTGAAGATGCAAACACCTCCATACCAAACCTGGGATCAGGATTGTGAAAAGAGGGCTCCAGGTATGATGTTCCCAGCAGCCAACCCTGTAGTGAATCTGTTTCTGGTGAGAGCAGAGCCCTCTCCCAGGTTTAGGAGAAATCTGATTTTAGCAGAAGTCTCTCAACCAACCAGACACACTGTCTGGGGAGGGGTCTGGAAATCAGCCTTCACACAACTTCCCCAGTGACTCTTGAGTTTCTTACACTCACTCCCCATGGGTTTGGTGGGAGACATAGGACCCAAAGGTCTGATTCAGGACTCCTAGCCCAAGAGCAGCCCTCCTAGGCTGCGGAGAAAGAAAAAAAATGGTAAGATAGATATAAATAGGCCCTTCTAGCTCACCCCTGAAGAACACCTCAATACCCTGGCACACGTCAGAGCTAGACCCATTTAATTACTTGATCGTGAGCTGTTCATCATTTGTTGGAAAACTGATGGTTGGCTGCGACACCCCTCTGTGGTAACCACAGTTGGACCAAACAAGCCAAGCATGACACTAACTCCCCATCTCTCTCCAGCACTCACCAAAATGGCCCCTTATCCCACTGATGTTTAATGCCACATAAACTAGGACATTCCCTTAGTCACCTGGGCGTGGGGTGACCTGTGATATTCTGGGATTGGGGTCATGAGTTTTAGTCCTCAAAGAATGTGTGTCTATTGGCTGGCCTGTGATGCTCTCCTCCTCCCCCGTCTCATTGCAGGACACAACGGGCTGGTGGCTGTGAGTACCTGTGGCCCCTGTGATCTCACCCCCTCCCCCAAGACCCTGGGCCTGTAGCTCTTAGCAGCTGTGAGGAAGCTGAGGAATGAAGGAAAAGGCAGTCCTCTGTGCTCTCCGTGCTGACTAGGGTCATGGTATTGATGCACACCTGTCACCAGGTAGGGAGGACAGCTCCCTTCCCTGTCTTTTCCCTCACGCACATGGCCCTCTCATGGCCTGTGAGAGTCCAGAACCTTCAGAAACAAGCAGCTGAGAAGCAGAAGCACGGTGCTGGCAGAGAGACAGCAGGTTAGAGTCTAGGGATCGGTCAGAGTCTCCAGCTTAGGAAAAGTGCTGTGTAGAGAGCTTTGCACACCCTAGTGATGTTCAGGTCACTGATGGACCACTGGAGCACATGGCTGCCACTTGTCCAAAGTGTGCTCTGGCAATTGCAAGGAGCCCCACCGAGCGGACAGGCTAGCACCTCTGTTCCCAGTACAGCTGACTTCTAGTTCCCAAGCTCTTTCAGCCTTCTTCAGGCTGTGCTTCTTAGCTCTAGTCTCTGTATCTCCAAGAATCTATGACAAACATGGAGCATCTTGAAGTGGCACTTCTAGAGAAGCAACACAGGGAACTTAGGGGAAAAAAATGGAGTGCCAAGGGACAACAGCTCATCTAACTCATTATTTTGTTGTTTAACACTTGAGCAATATTCCTTAGTTTTTCCCCCTCAAAGCTGGCATTCTACCACTGAACCACACCTCTACTTCCAGCTTTTTGGTGGTTAATTGGAGATAAGAGTCACAGACTTGAGGCTGGGAAGGTGGCTTAATGGTAGAGTGCTTGCCTTGCACGTATGAAGTCCTGGGTTCTATTCCTCAGTACCACATAAGCAGAAAAAAGTCAGAAGTGCCACTGTAGCTCAAGTGGTAGAGTGCTAACCTTGAGCTGAAGAGCTGAGGGACAGTGCCCAGGCCCGGAATTCAGGTCCCACAACCAACAACAACAACAACAACAAAAAAGAGTTTCAGACTTTCCTGTGTGGGCTGGCTTCAAAGCATGATCTGTGGGTCTCAGACTCCTGAGTAGCTAGGAATCAGTTGCCCCAGTTTGGACACATGAGTTTTACTGACCATTCTACAGAGGGCCTTTTGTCAATCAATTAGTAATTTAAACACACCAGTGTCATGTTAATAAAATAAACACTAGTTCATGTCCCAGCTCTGCCATTTTCTATCTGTGAAGGTTAAGGTGTGTCACTCACCCTCTCTGAGTTACAGTAAATATGGAGGTAACAGAGAATGTGCTGCAAAGATCTGAAAATAAGTTTGACATGCATGTGGCCTTACTATTAGAATTTCGAGCCCAGGGAAGGCCATTAATGACCTTCAGGCAAAGACCACCAGTAGTGCATCTAAGGTTATTCACATTGAATTTGTTACTTGTAGCAAGTAAGAATGAAGAACTGTGGGTATAAACTAAGAAGGTGCTAGAAAGAACCAAACACAGGATATGAATGTTGCTTTGGAGGGGCTGGGAAAGTGCCTGAGAAAATAGGGCTTTACTCTAGGTCAGACACTGCCCAAAAGTGAGACAACCTGAAAATCTCAATGAATTTGATCTGTAGGAGTGCAGCCTAGGAGTTGCATAGCAACAGTCAGTCTCAGGTCTAGAGACGAAGTGTTTGGTATTTGGCTGGTGGCATATAGACCGAGCTTTCATTAGTGCTTAGACAACCCTGTGCACTAGACTTTGTCTCATCTTATGGTCAGAACAACCTTGCTGGAGGTTGTTGCTCTGAATTCATTTATAACTCATAAGAAACCAACAGGGCTTACCTCTGAGGGCCAGGAAAGCTTTTACATGTCGGGGAGCTGCCCTTTTTGGTGGTTCTTAATGGGATAGGTTAGGGGAATAGATCATGGGCTCGGACTGTCTGGGTTTATTTCCCTGCACCTCTATTTAGCAGCTCTGGAAGCCTAAAGCCAATTGTTACTCTCATTGAGTACATTGAGCCTCAGTTTTTTCATCTGTAAACAAAGATTTCCTACCCACCTCCTCAAGGATAGTGTGGTAGATGAAATAAAATGCACCCAGTGTAGTCAGCAAGTACATTTTTTTCAAAATGACTTCAGAGTTTTACCATCCCCGATGCCATGTTGATGTCAGTATCAATAGTGTTAGGGAAACGAGCCTAGGAGAGCTGCAGGTTCACAACTAGCTCAAGTCAACAACTATTTCTTGTGCTGGAGGAAAACAAATAGCCGTGCACCTGTCATTCATTCCCCTGAATGAGGTTCGGCGATCGCCACAGGTTCATTTGTTTACAGCACTTGTCCCATGTGTCAGAGACCGTTCTGCATTCCTGCCTGGGACCGGCTCATGAAACCCTTTGAATGAGATTACGTAGGTACTGGCAGCCTAGGGCCCATTTTTGCTCATGAGGAAATGGAGCCCCATCAATCCCATGCCAGTCGAAAGAAAATGAGGCGTTAAACAGGGCCTGGCTGTGTTGTCAAATTCAGCCCCCCACCATGGGGCCTCATGGATGCTGCTTCTCCCTGGAGAAGAGTGACATCAGGCTGAGGAATGGGGGGCAGGGAAGGGGGAGGTTCAAGCTGAGGTCCTGGGGCACCAGGGGCAGGCCATCTTCAGGTGGGACATGGGGAGCAGGAGCCGGCAGGGCAGATCTTAGAAGCCATCTGTACTCAGGAGCCCTATGCAGTAAGGGCTTTAAGATGGCAGGTCAGTCCTCAGGGATAGAGGGAGAGGTCCTGTGTCCCCCCCAGGCTGCATACCTGCAGAGACTGGGAGTGAACACGGTGGTGTTGGAGAAGCGCCACGTGATTGGCGGTGCTGCTGTCACTGAAGAGATCATCCCAGGTAAGCCTCCACTGTGGGGGTGGGGGTGGGAGGGCAGTGGAGGAGGATGGGCAGGATGGGGACCCCTCCTGACTGCTTCTGTTGATCTGGTTCCAGGGTTTAAGTTCTCCCGAGCATCCTACCTCCTTAGCTTGCTGCGTCCACAGATTTACACGGACCTGGAGCTGAAGGTAGAATGGCCTCCCCCAGACCTGGGGTCCTGACTTGGGGTGAGGGCTCCCTTCCCGTGTCAAGGCAATCCCCTCCTTTCCCTTCTCAAGGTCTCTCTTCAGTCCCTGGGTTCATGAAGATCACACAGCTCTTCTGCATTCCACAGATGCACTCAGATCTTAAACACTGGACTAGCTCACATACAAGTCAGAGGTTTTGTTGGTGAGGGAGGGAGGGGCTGTAGTAGGGCTCCAACTCAGTGCCTTGCACTTGCTATGCAGGCTCGACCCCTAAAGCCACACTCCCAGTCCTTGTGCTTTTAGTTTCATTGTTTGTTTGTTTGTTTTCAGATAGGGTCTCTTGCTTTTGCTTGGGCCAGCCTCTGACCTCACGCTTCCTATTCCCCTTTTTCTGTAGCTTTGAGTTCCTGAGTTTGAACAGCTGCCTTAGGCACAAGCTGAATCTGCCCTCATTCAAATTCTGAGCCTGCTGCCATTCTTGGCAGCCCAAGCAGACTTTCACCTCTCCTGGCACCTGAGCTGTTTGAAAGGCTCCTGAGAACCCTCTGCCTGCCTCTTATTCTCTTCTCAGTCCACTCCCCTCTGCCTACTGCTTACACACCTCAGCCCCGACCCAAACCTTACCTTACCACCTCCTGATTTAACTCCTAACTGCCGGTGCCTCTGTCACCCACCCCCAGGAGAAAGGTCCCCGTAAAAGATGTGCCACCTATATAGGTAGCTGTGTGCAGGACTCCACCAGCTTTTCTCTGAGTTCAAAGTCAGAGATGAATGACATACACAGCACTCTTCATTGCTCTTTTCTGCTCTAATAAGTTCTCCAATCCACACCATACCACACCTACAGGCAATAACTAAAGTACCCGTTTATGACAGCAGATACTTGGGCCGGGGAGGGGAGTAGAGACAATTCCTGTCCTTGCCTGCCTGCCTCTCTCAGCTTCCTGCCATGTCCCTGATGCTCCTGCTTGACCTGGGAAAACTCCCTAAGTTGAAGGTTCCCAGAACTGAAGATTGCCCAGGTTTCTGCTCAGAGGTCTTATTCTGTGGGAATGGTAGGACCCCGGACAGCATTTCACAGCATTCTCCACCATTCTGAAAAAAGAGGCCCCAGCTGTAACTGTGAGAGCCAGAGTCATTAATTCCCACATGTCCCCAGCCCCTCAGTCACACCTGGTCCTTCCCCCCCACCTTCGATGGCTAGGCAGCTTTTGTTTTTATTTGTTTTGTTTTTTAGAGAAACACAGGCTTTAAACAAACCTCATAGATTAGATAATCTCCTGGTTATTTAACACTCCCTCTTTTCTGATGACACCTAATTACAACAGCAAGAATGACAACAGGGCCATTTATAAGAGAAAGTCAGAATCCACCACAGCCATTATTCACATTCAATTAGTTATGCTTGAAACAATCTGAGATGAGATCCTCTCAGCCCCTTACCTACTTGCTCAATGGGTCGATGCACGTCTGCTCTGTGCCAGGCTCTGGACAAGATTCCTGGGGCTGCAACAGTGAACACAGGAAGGAGGAAGAGAGCTTCCGGTAGAAGTAATGGCAGGAAGAAAAAAAAACTAGGGCAATATGACAAGGAAAAATTGAAGGTCTCAGCTTAGCCTGGTGACCAGGAAGCCTTCCTTATAGAGGTGACATGAGGGCCGAGGCCAAGAAGTCTCCAGCCATATGGCCATCTGAACAGAGAGCATTCCAGTCAGAGGGAAGTGGCTGTGGACAGGTGTAGGCAGAAGTTACGTCAGTATGGCCAGAGGTGACAGGTGATGGGCAAAGGAACCACAGCTGAGGAGGGATAGCCTAGAGCCTGCATTTTATCCAACTACAGTGGAAAGCCAGCAGGAAGTAGAATTTGAGATTGACGGGTTCATAAAAGATCAGTTCACCAGGCACTGTAATCCTAGCTATTCAGGAGGCTGAGATCTGAGGATCACAGTTCAGAGCCAGCCTGGGCAGGAAAGCCTATGAGACTCTTATCTCCAATTAACCACCAGAAAGCTGGCGGTGGAGCTGTGGCCCAAAGTGGTAGAGCACTAGCTTTGAGTGAAAATGCTCAGGGACAACACCCAAGCCCTGAGTTCAAGCCCCATGACTGCCAAAACAAAAGCAATCGGCTCGTGTGGGTGGTGGTGGAAGCAGGAATAGCTGCAGGTTGACCCATGCGGCAGCTTCTGCAGTGAGTCCAAAGATGGAAGCCTAGGTTGACAGCAGTGGGCATGAAGAAAAGTGGACAACTCCTGCAGGTGGAGCTGACAGGAACTGACCATGGAAGAATGTCCAAGGGTGAGGGAAAGAGAAGAATTAAAGATGCCCCTGGGGTTGAAGTTCATTACAACCAAAGGAATCAAGCTGGAAGTGCCCGTGAGTTAGAATCCTATTTCTCCATCTCAATGTTAGAAAGAGCCCAAGGTCTCCCAGCCCAAGCCCCTGCCCTTGTGTGGAACCTTTTGCAGAATGCTCAATGTCCCAGTGGTCCTACCTAGCTACAATGTCTCTGGTGGGAGCAACTCCAGCTATCATTGTTGCAAAGGTCTTGTTTCAGCTTCCAGGCAATCTGCTAACACTGCTTCTCACAAGGTTCTGCCCTCTGGGGCCAGAATCTTGCCTGCATGGTGACATTCATTGAACCAGTCAATAGAATACCTAATGGTGGTACTGGATCTACAATAGTGAGCAGAGCAGGCCACACCCTTGACCTCACAGAACTTTCATTCCACTAAGATGAGGCAAAGAAAGAAACTTAAGATACAGTTAGCCATGTGCTGATTAGTACATTGGGGGAAAAAATGATATAGTGGGAGGGACAGGGAGTGATGGTATGGTCAGGGGTGACCTGGCTGGTGATGGACATTTGAGCAGAGACCTCAGGGAAGTGAGAAACCAGACCACAGATGGAGAAAGAAGTCACTAGAGAGCAAGCACTCCACTCTGACAAGTGTCAGTGGCGCAGGCCCCTTTGGTTAGGCCTGCGTCTCCTTTGGAGAAGTAGATGTGCTCATGGAAGGGCTGTGTGCTGCCCAAACATTCATAAATCAAATTGTATTCTAAATATATCAAGGGAACTCCCATTTAACTTGGCCCTGGAGTAAATGAGTCTGCAAAGTAAATAACATTTTTTGATATAAATAATTCAGCTATCTTATAGATATGGATTTTCACGGTTCTTTATTGTGTCTTTCTAAAGTTTAATTATTTATTTCTGAAGTGAGGCAGTTATAGATTCATGCTGAGAGCCAGGGCCTGGGGGGGGGGGGGTCTCAGAGATGTGGCTTTGAAGCCCAGATTTACCTCTTATAGTGACCTGGGACAAGTTATTTAGCTTTTCTGGGCCTCTGTTGTGGCATTTGTACAAAGAGGATAAAGATGCGTGCAGGAATGTTGTGAAATAATAACTATAGTCACAAGTATTGTTTCTGGCGCAAGATAATCATAGCACGGTTTGGTATGGTATGGTGTGGCATGGGATGATACACTATGGCCAATTATTGAGTGCCTGGGCAAGAGGACTTTTATTATAAACATATTTGTTTTTTTGGGGGGGGGTCCAGTCGTGGGTCCTGAACTCTGGGCTTGGATGCTGTCCCTCAGCTCTTCAGCTCAAGGCTAGCACTCTACCACTTGAGCCACAACTCCACTTCCGGATTTTTTCTTTTTGCTTATGTGGTGCTGAGGAATCAAACCCAGGGCCTCAGGCATGCAAGGCAAGCGCTCTACCACTGAGCCACCTTCCCAGCCCATATAAACATATTTGTTATAGACATAGTTAAAAGAGTAGGAACCATAGAGCATCCTAGACAGACAAGTCCAGGATACTCTCTTCTCCAGTTAACTAGCAAAAAAACAGAAATGGAGGTGTGATTCAAATGGTGGAGGACCAGCTAAGAGTGAAAAGGCCATGTGAAAACACAAGACCCAGAGTTCAAGCCCCAGTATCAACACACATACACACATACACAAAACAGGAAGTAGGACCACATAGTTTGGAAACCGACACACAGGCCACCAAATGGGTCACCTAAATACAATGGAAGAGACTACAATTGACAGGTCCTAAAACTTGTGTTATGCAGAAATATGGACTGAAGCTTCATCTCCGAGACCCCTACGCCTTCACCCCCATGCTAGAAGAAGGCAGAGGAGGCAAGGTGCCCAGGTCCCTTCTACTGGGCACAGACATGGCAGAAAACCAGAAGCAAATTGCCCAGTTCTCATGGAAGGATGCCCAGGTAGGGAAAGCAACCACAGATGTATCCTTTGTTGTGCCTTACCAGCCTGGAGAGGCTCTTGAAAGGAAATGAGCCTTGAAAAGAGATGAACTGTCCAAGGACCTAGGACACAATGTCCTGGAGGGTTTCAGTCTGCTCAAACCTCTGATCTAAGACACTTCAAGGAAAAAGGGTAGACAGAGATTAAGAGCAGTGGACACTGGAGCCCCTGGGGCTTGTGTGTATGTGGGTGTCCATAACAGAATTTCAAAATGGAACCCTTTGTACATTTTCACACTATGTTCACCTTCTAGCTCTCTTGATGTCTGACAGTTCCAAAGGAGGATAAAGGGGCAGATGAGAAACAAGTGAGGCTTGAATGAACGGGAGCAGGAATTTAGGGCAAGAAAATATTCATTCCTTCAATTTGGCATCAATCCCCTGGCACCTAAGGCAAGAAAGTGTCTGTGGTACTGGGCAGCCCTGTGAAAGAAAGGATACACACTGGATGGAGAAGGTGCACTGTGTAGGATTGTAGCTGAGGAATCTCTGGGTAGCTTTGTCCAGATAAGTCACAAGTGAAGTAGTGGATCTGGTGTGCTAGGTGCTACCGATATGGAGAGTTCTCCCAAAGGCCATGTTTTTGTACCTAACCTGGACATGCACTGAAGATATAGCATTGAATCTCATCCAAGAGGATGCATTTTTGCAAGGAAAACCTAGGTTGGTGGAGTCAATGCATGCTGTTTTGTGTTATGTTTAATATTAGGCAAAGCCTAGAGAACAGACATGTGGCGCTCATGTACCATGGTTCCTGGCTCTGATTCTTCATCCAGAGCTTTCTGAGCCTGGCTGATGAACAGAACCATCCCAGGGCTGAGGATCTTCCAAGTCATTCTCACATGATTGTTTTGTTCACTGAGCTAGGAGCAACCATCTCCACCCTCCTTCAGATCCTGCCCATTTCACATGCATCAGATGGGAGTCAGCACAAGGCCAGGACCCTGAGCCTATAGGACATTAGTGGTGACCTTGCCTGCTAGTGACTCCACAAGCAGGACACCAGGCTTGTTTCCCACTGTGGAGATGAAGGTGCCCGATTTCTTATTTGGTCTTGGCAAGGTGTTATTTTTACAGACCTGCTCTAGAGAAAGCTGTTGAACTTTATTCTTACTGAGACTTTATGAATGTTCTTCAACACAGAACTCGAGGAAATGCTTCTGGTAATTTCCTGAGTGTATTCATGAGTGTAGTTGAGCCTTAATTAAAACCTCTGGGCTGAGAATCAAGTGAGAGCCTCTAGTAAGGGACTGCCCCCCGCTCTCTCAGGCCTGACCTGTGAAAGGCTGGTGTTGGAAACTGGCTGTGGGAAACAGCTGTGCTGTGCTCCCTGGCAGGTGAGAGGCTGCAGGTGATATCAGACTTGCTGGGGCTGGAAACGAGAGCTACCTTCTACCAGTCACATACAGATGAATGCAGAGGGAAACTTCTGCGTGCCTCCACCACACAACCTGCAATCTCAGACGCTTGCCAGTGTCTTGGGGCTGATGTTGCCTGACAGTGGCCCCCTCATCCATGGTGGCTATCTTGTGTCCCAGGCCTCTCTGCCCTCTCCAGGCTGTCTCTGTTACCGATGAAGAAAACTCAGCACATACAAGCTGAATCATACCTAGAAGTGAGGCCTGAGAAACCACCAGAGCTTCCCTGTGGGGTGCAGCCAGAGAGGGCAGTATGAGGGCATGGTGTAGGGAGAGGGTCTTTGTGGGATTCTCAATGGTGGAGCCTTTACCTAGAGCTCTGTTCTAGGCCTTTCCCAGGTACGAGGAGTTCATGAGCCTCTTGGTGTTAGCCATTGACCCCCTGCTGGATGCAGCCCCATTGGACATCGCTGCCTTCCAGCACGGCTCCCTCCTGCAAAGGCTCAAGCTGCTGTCCACCCTCAAGCCCCTGGTGAAGGCAGGTGAGTCCCAAGTGTAGAAAGAGGTGGCCTAGACCTTAGCCAGGCTCCAATGTGGCTGCCAATTATGGTCAGCTAATAGGCTGTCATCCTTGCAGGCTATCTGGTCTGCCCTAAAAACAGAGCCCAACACTAAGGCTTGTGCACAAGTAGTTTACTTAGAAGGCTGATCTCTGGGTCCTAGTAGAGAAACTGGACAAAAGGAGAGCCAATTCCAGAGAATATGACCACACTGACCACCGTTTGTAGGTGATAAGACACCAGACTCTGCCTAGACCCCCAGAGAAACCTGAGTAATGAACTTGAGGCCCACTCCTAGGAGAAGGGAAAGAGATGTCCAGCTATCAGGCCATTCCCCCACTGGTTAAGGGATGCCTCATGGGATATTAACTCCTATACTTCTGGGCCATGCATCTGTGAGCTATTCATGATGGTGCCAGAAAAGCCCAGGGTAGAAATGAGGCACATTGTACAAGGCTAATTTAAGGTGCTGTTAGGGTTTCCATATGTGGAAATAACTTCATGGAGCTCATCACTATGGCCACACCTAGAACAAGATATAGGGACCAAGAGAATCTGAAGCACTACTTCCTTACAAGAAGGATACTAGATTGAGCTCAGGAAAAGTTCTGCGATTAATTGGTGATGTCTGCATGAGGGTGAGAACAGAAGCTTCACAACCAAGCATGCTATTGTTTTCTACTGCCTTGTAGGATGTACAGACCAATTTAGCATCTAGAAAAATACCAAATCAGGTAGCTCTGCTCACAAGGAAACAAAACCCATGAGACTCCATTGGCATCTGAAAAAAATACTTATTTCCCATGTGTCTGTGTGGTTCAGCTGACCCTAGCTGGCTCAGCTGATCTGATCTGGTCTCATGTATATATAGTGGCTAGAAGAAATCAATGGGGGCAGCTCCACTACAGGAATCGGTGCCCATGAACTTGCAAATGCTTTACGTATCCCACTGAATCCTCACAATTGCCCTTGAGAGTATTAAATACTACTACAGTTTTACAAAAGAACCAGGCTCAGAGCTGTTGAAAATGGGCCCAACTCCTAGGAAGAGAAGGAAACTGTAGCATGCACTTGCCATGCTAGCCTGCCTCCCTCTCATTCATTCCTGGGAAGCAGAGCCTAATTTGGTTGATGTTTGGGGTTCTCTTTCAGGCCGCACTTTGGGAGCCCAGCTTCCCCAGTATTACCAGGTCCTCACAGCCCCAATTACTAAGGTAAGCACTGCCAAGCCTGCACCCATGGTAGCTGGGATCCCTCCTGCTACCCAAGCCCTTCTCCTGTGGCTTTACTCTCCAGGTGCTGGATCAGTGGTTTGAGTCTGAGCCTCTAAAAGCTACTCTGGCAACAGATGCTGTAATTGGAGCCATGACAAGTCCCCGCACTCCAGGGAGTGGGTGAGTGAGGGTACTCGGGAGGAGCAGCTAGAGCAGAAAAGAGCAGGTCCCCAACACTGCCATTCACTGAGCTTACCCAGCATGCCAGGCACCAATTCACCCAGCAGAGCCACATCTGAAGTGGGGTTCAGAGAAGGGAATTATCTTGCCCCAAGTCACACAGCTAGTAAATGGCAGAGCTGACTTCTAGTCCAAGTTGTCCACCCCACCCCCACCATCTTCCTTTTTGGCTACTCTCCTCTGTGCTTCACTAGGAACAAAACTCCCTGCCATCAGTGTCCTTTCTCTCCCTCGCATCTCCCTGTGTCCATCCTTCCTTCCTCTCCCTCCCCAGCTCCTGCAAAGGCGTAGGTCCCCTTTCTCTTTCCCCTGTCCTCAGGCTCCAGGACACATTCACACAAAGCCTCCTACAGACAGGAAGCTGCCATGTCTGTGAGCCAGCTGTGTGCTTACAGCCCATTAGAGAGGAGCCACAGACACAGTAAATCCTGTGATGAGGTAGGACTTAGAGAGCCCCTTGTAGAAATGGAAGGGCATGTGTGTATCAGGAGGGAGGGAGGGTTTGTCCAATGTGGAGCCATTTTCTGTGCACTGGAAGTTGCTATCCATGTGCCTTGCCTTGGAAGGGAGGGAAAGCTCTCTCCAGAAGTAGCTGCTGGGCACCCATTGAGAGAGCCCTGAATTCCCCAGAGGCTGAAGCAGTGGTTGGCACCTTGGCCAAACTCTCATCAAATAGTCAAGCTGCATCGCTCCAGCTGGAGCCTCTGTCCCCTTGGGGGGCTTTGGACACTTGATTTATCAACTGTGCCTTTAAGCAATTTGTTTTTTACATTCTTTTTTTTGTGTGTGTGTGTGAGGGTCCTGGGGCTTGAACTCAGGGCCTGCGCACTGTCCCTGAGCCTCTTTGTGCTCAAGGCTAGTGCTTTACCACTTGAGCCACAGGGCCACTTCTGGCTTTTTCTGAGTAGTTTATCGGAAGTAAGAGTCTCACGGACTTTCCTGCCTGCACTGGCTTTGAACCACAGTCCTTGTATCTCAGCCTCCTGAGTAGCTAGGATTACAGGTATGAGCTGCTGGCACCCAGCTTTTACACTTTTTTTTTTGGTCGTTTGTGGGACCTGAACTCTGGGCCTTGGCTCTGTCCCTCAGCTCTTCAGTTCAAGGCTAGTGCTCTACCACTTGAGCGACAGTGCCATTTCCAGCTTTTTCTGCTTACGTGGTACTGAGGAATCGAACCCAGGGCCTCATGCATGCAAGGCAAGCATTCTACCACAACCTCTTTTACATTCTTCTAATAATGATGAATGGAACACTTGCCTATCCTGGATGTTGGGATGTGGTAGTGAATGGACTAGAAATCCTAACCAGAACAGGACAGACTCAAGCAAGCAGTGCTAAAGAAGGGCCTAAATGTCATGGCGTCAGGTCCAGCTGGGAAACTTACGCTGAGGTAAAAAAAAAAAAAAAAGCAAGAATTCCTCAGAAGAAGAGATGCTTGATCTGAGGGAAGAGGAGGAACTTGATGAATGAAAGATGTGGGAAGAAGAGACTCCAGGCTGGCAGCTATCCTAGGCATAAAAGCTGGACTTGAACAAGGCGAGTGTTCCATTTAGTGAGTGGGAAAATGCCTGGTTTTTCCAGGGGAAAGTATGAGGGGGGCAGGGGACAAGGCTGACCTCAGGCAGGGTCAGAGGCCACTCAGGGAGATTGGCCACTACCCTAAGAGCAGCAATGAGCCAGTGACGTCTCAGGAGCTCACTGGGTTCTGAGATTCAGGCTCCGAGTTCATGGGCAGGGGAGCAAGTACAGAGGAGGTGAGCCTTTAGGGGGGCTCCTGCTGCAGTGTGAGGAAGAGAGGAGAGGGAGAGGGGCTGAGGCAGTGACTCTGAATGCTCCATAGAAGGCAGCACTGGACTGGATGTAGATAGTTAAGAGACCGGTCCGGGTCAAGGGTAACACTTCAGTGTTGACAGGAAACTGAAGGCATCGTTCATGAGGATGGAGAAGACTGAAGGAGAAACAGTTTGAGTGATGGGGAAAGGTTTCAGATGCCTGCCTCTCCCCGCACCCCCCAAAAAAGCATCCAAGCAGAGGTGGGTACTCATAGCTAGAAACCTGCTGGAGCTCAAGAGAAGGTGGAACCCCAGGAGTGGGCACCTCTTCCATGCTGATAATTAAGCTCTTCGTAGAAGCTCATTTAAAGACCTCATGGAGAGGCCAAGGGTGCAAGGCAGAAAGGGGTATTTGTAACTAAGACTCAGGGAACAGACTCTCACCTGCAGCCTGTGATGCTGTGCTCTGTCCTCAGGTATGTGCTATTGCATCATGTGATGGGGGGTCTGGAAGGGACGCGGGGCGCCTGGGGCTATGTCCAAGGAGGCATGGGTGCCGTCTCTGATGCTATCGCCAGCTCGGCCACTGCGCATGGAGCAAGTATCTTCACTGACAAGGTGAGAGCCCTTTCCACCTCCTTTGATTATCCACCGGGGCCCAGGCTAGAATGGGGTTTTACATTTTGTTTTTTTTTGGGGGGGTCCGGTTGTGGGGCCTGAACTCTGAGCCTGGGTGCTGTCCCTCAGCTCTTCAGCTCAAGGCTAGTGCTCTACCACTTGAGCCACAGTGCCACTTCTGGCTTTTTTCTTTTTTTTTTGCTTATGTGGTTCTGAGGAATTGAACCCAGGGCTTCATGCATTCAAGGCAAGCACTCTACCACTGAGCCATCTTCCCAGCCCGGGGTCTTACATTTTGAAGGGTCCTCATTCTATTGATGGACAAGGCCAGGCTCAGAATCCAAAGATGACCCTTGTGCTACCTGCTGGAGGCTGAGCAGTTGTCAGATACCAAGCCATGTTTGGGCCGAGGCTGCCCATGTAGGGGCTAGGACAAAGCTTTCCTGAGAAGCGGCTGAGTTTAGATGGTAGATTTTGGATGAGGAAACCTGCGTGCCCAGAGCTGTGGAAAAGATCTAACCCCAACTTTCCCTCTGGGTGGATCTCGCTGGCGGCTCCAGCCGGTGGCTAAGGTGCAGGTGAACCACGAGGGCCGTGTTGAAGGAGTCCTGCTGGAGGATGGTCTGGAGATCAAGAGCAGAGTGGTGCTGTCCTGTGCGTCACCACAGGTCACCTTCCTGAAGCTGACACCACAGGTAAGCAGGGAGTGCGGAGGTAAGATGTCTTCTCAGACAGGGCTTGGTTAATGGGGGAATCAGGGGAACTCAGGCTACATGAGCGTTGGAGATACAAATACTGCATCTCCTTGTTTGGAGAAGGAGGTAGGATGCAAATAGCAGAGAATCATGAAGGTCCAGAGAAGTGAGGTCACCTAGATTATTGCTGTCCAAACTTGGCTGAACCCTTACTAGAACTGAGTCTGGTTTCTGTCTGCCTAGAGTTATTACTAGAAAATTTCCCATTATCCAGAATTCTCCCTTTCCATCAACTCTTAATTCTACCGCTTGTGTCAATAGCCTATTGCTGCATTTGTGCTACAAAAGAACCACAGTACTTTCAGGCAGATAAGAAATCAGCTAGCAGACCAGGAGAACTGCTCATCTTGTCTGAATTTGATTGCTCTGGGCTTTTGTTTCACCTGCCATCACCATGGTGCAGCCTGTGGGCTCCGCTTGTCTTGGCTGGACTCATTTGTATGTGTGAAAGTTGGCCGTCTATGGTTGGTGCAGGACAGTTTCTGCTAGAAAGACCAGAGTAGCCAGACCTTTTTCCATGTGTCTTCCAGCCTCCAGCACAGTGGTCCAGGCCTGTCCTTCTCAGGGTCTGGCAAAGGGAAAAAGCCAGAAAGCTCAATCATCATATAGTTTGATCCGTTTGCATCTTATTTGCTAACATTTGTCAAAGCAAATCCCACATGGAGCCCAGGGGTCAGAGGTGAGGGCACTTTACAGGTGCATGGAAAGGGGTATGCACCCCGGAAAGGCTGAGATATAGAGCAATTGCTGCAATTGCCCACAACTTCCTCTCCTCCAACACTAAGGTAATGAAGCTCCAGCCATTTGGGGTTTTATCCTCTGGGGACAGAGCACTAGTTTTTTTTCTGAATATTTCCACTTCCCAAAATTCATCAACAAACATCTGTTCAACGTGTCCTATTAAGGCAATTCTGGGGTCGCAAGACTCTCGGGAGTTTATAGACCAGAAGAGAAAAGAGAGAGGTATGTGAACTTCTGGTTCTGGCCCTCGCCCTGGCCTTGGACTATGAGCTCCTATAGGTAGGATCTCTGCAAAACTCAGAGGATGGAATGGCTAGCTTAGAATGGGAGTAGCCAGGAAGGCAGATCAGACTGAGCTCTGAAGAGCATTTCCAGAGGCAGAGGCTGAAGGACCACCAGCCTGAGCAAGTAATTCAGGTCCTGATGACTTCAGGCCTTTCACAGCACCTTCTCCCTCAGGACTGGCTTCCAGAGTCTTTCCGGGAGAGAATCTCCCAGCTGGATACACAGTCTCCTGTCACCAAGATCAATGGTATGTAGTCTGTGATTGACGTTATCAGAGCAGGAAATTTCCCAGTCTCTCTTAACCTACCCACTTCAATCCTTCCTCCTCTGACTTCCAGCTCTGCCCCTACTTACCCCGACCCTCCCTGATTGAAATTCATGCCTGCAGACGCCCAAATCACCATCTAAGGGAGCAGGGTGCTGATTGTCGAGGGAAGACCCTGGAGAACGAGGGCCTGACCCTCCCCTTGGGTCCCTCAGTGGCTGTAGACAGGCTGCCCAACTTCCTGGCAGCCCCCAGTGCTCCCAAGAACCAGCTGCTGCCCCATCACCAGTGTTCCATCCACCTGAACTGTGAAAACACGCTGCTCCTCCATCAGGCCTTCGAAGAGGCCGTGGGTGGCCTGCCCTCCCGCAGGTGGGTGAGCCAGAAGGGAGATGGGCCCTGGCCTGTGTGTCTCGATGCAGAGACCTGTGGTGGCTGTCCAGACACGTGAGAGGACTGGCCTCTTCTGCCTAGTGTTAAACCTTCACAACGCCAAGGGTGGATCTCCCTAAAACCACACTTACTTTCCAAGGACAGGAAGTGTATCCCAGGCAAGAGATCCATGGCCCAGGGCTGGCAGGGAGGAAGAGGGAGACATGGCAGGGAGTGTCACAGGTCAGTAGAGGAACAGCGCTGCACAGAGGACATTCTGGAGAGGGGGAGATCGTTCCTTGAGTCAGCCACCTGACCGAGGACGCATGCTCCCTGAGCCCCTGCCCCATGTCCTCCCTCATGTTCATGAGCCTCTTCGTGCAAAGCCTCCCCCTGCACCGCTGTGACTCCATCTTCCCAGAGCAGGTGGGGCACGGTGGGGCCCACACCTTTCCATCCCGCCCATCAGCCACCGGACTTTTGCCAAAACCTGTCTGGCAAGACTGCACACTAGGCATGGGCTGGAGGGCCTGCGGTGTGACACAGACACAAAGCTAATGATAAGTGAGACACCCGGACCCACAGGTGAACAAAGGTCCTCAGAGACAGGCCCTCAGCTTGGTGTTGTTGGGCCCACTCACAAGACACTACTGGGGCCCAGAGGGACACACTTGGATGAACCCTGAACCCCTGCTGCTAGCCTCTTCACAGAGGCCCATCAGCTGGCCAGACCCTGGTTAGAGAATGGGGGAGAAAGGAAGGCAAGGACAGGCTGGATCAGAGCAGAGTCCTGGAGCGGGTGCAGGAGCAGCTGCTGGGGTGGGGGGAAAGGAGGCAGATGGTCCTGTAGGCACTAAGCCCCTCAGGTGAAGGCCCCCTTGGCCTCAGTGGCCCAGCAATGGCATCATCCCAGGGTCCTCATTTGTCTCCAGTCACTCCAGAGCAGCCCCCAGCCTGACCTTGGCTCTTCCTCATACCACAGGCCTATGATCGAGCTCTGCATCCCGTCCTCGCTGGACCGCACCCTGGCTCCGCCCGGCTGCCATGTCATCTCCCTCTTCACCCAGTTCACACCCTACACATTGGCAGGAGGCAGAGTCTGGGATGAGCAGGAGAGAAATGCCTATGCAGACAGAGGTAAAAACGCCACCCTATCCAGTCCTCAGGACTGCTCCTGGCCTTGGGACCTGAGGGGACGCCCCTCCACACTTCCTCGTTCAGGATGAGCCCCTGTGGGTGCTGTCCTGAGGGAAGAGATGTCCCCAGGAGAATCTCACATCATCGTAGTGAAATTCTGTTCTAGGGTCAGACACTGGGCTAAAAAAAAAAGCCAAAAAAATGTCACAGCTCCTGCCCTCTTGCTGCTTATGGTCTGGTGAAGGAGACTTAAGAAACCAATCATCAGAGAATCACGTGTTTTATAGAGCTAAAGGAGGGAGCCTTAAGTCAGAGAGACAGGAAGGCTTTCAGAAGATGGGGCGTTTGAGTTGGGTTTTAAAGGATGAATAGGAGTTGACTGGAGAACAGAGGGCTCTGCTTGAGCAAAATAGTGGGGGAGGGGATGGAAGCAATACACACACACACACACACACACACACACACACACACATATTCATAAGGAAGCAAGAACAAATGCTTAAGACTGGGCTGGCCTTTTCTGCTGAGTTGTTTATTTGCCTATGGATTGTTTGTTTGTTTGATGTTTTACTTATTGAGGCATAATTTGCATAGGATACAATTTAGTGAGTTTTAAAGGAGTTTTAGTAAATTTGCAAGTCATACGGCCATCACACACCCTCCTCTTCCTAACGGCCTCTCCTTCTCCGGCTTGGAACTCTCCAGTGTTTGACTGCATTGAGGACTACGCCCCAGGCTTCAAGGCCTCTGTGGTGGGCAGAGACATCCTCACACCACCCGACCTGGAGAGGATCTTTGGGCTTCCTGGAGGGGTGAGTACAGGCCTGGGGTCCTCCTCGCCCCATCCCTGCCCCCCCACTTTCTCTGGTGGCTAATGGTGGTGATAGTTGACAAGGGACAGAGAGACACAGACAACTCCAGAGAAAGTGAATAGCCCTGGGTCCTTCGGCCTCTATATCACCATCAGCCTCTCCCAGAGTGGGGGCTCGATCTTGAAGGATGCCCGTTCTCCCAGGTTCTCGTTTTATCAAACACAGCACACTGAAGTCCAGTCTGGCAACCAGCAGCTATGACGGCTGCTGAGCCCAGCATGGCAGCTGGGCCAGAATGAGGCTGCCGCAGGTGCACAGTGCACTCCGACTGGAAGACAGCAAGAAGCAAGCTGGAACCGATGATTTTAGGTTGATTTCTTGCCACAAGGATCGTATTCTTAGATCCAGTAGGCTAAATAATATGAACATTAATTTCACCAGTTCATGTTTACTTTTTGTGTGTGATACTAGAATTTGAACTCAGAGCCTTGAGTTTGCTAGGCAGGTACTCTACTATTCGAACTTTGCCCCTAGCCCTTTTGTTGGTGCTGGTATTAGAGCTTACACTCAGGACCTGGGTATTGTCCCTCTGTCTCTTCACTCAAAGCTGGTGCTCTAGTACTTGAGCCACAGCTCCATTTCCAGCTTGTTGTTGTTGTTGTTGTTAGAGATAAGAGCCTTATGGAGTTTCCTGTCCATGCTGGCTTCAAACCACAATCCTCAAATCTCAGATTCCTGAGTAGCTAGGATTATAGGGGTGAGCCTCTGGTGCCTTCCCTCCCCCTTCTTCCCCTCAGAACTTTTACCTTTTTGTTTTGCCAGGACCTCAATCTTTGTATTCATGCTTCCCACCTCATGCGCACACCACCTCATGCAGCAATTTATGAGTTGAGATGGGGTTTTGTAAACTTCTTCCCCACCAGCGCAAGGCTGGCCTTGAGCTCTGAGCCTCTTGCTGGCAAGTTGCTGGTATGACAGGCATGAGCCACCACACCCAGCCTGCTTTTACTAGTAAACCTAAAATCACACAAGCGGTGGAGGTCATCTTGTTTTACTGGGCAGGGCTGATCTGAATACAGAGTGGAGGAAGACCAGCTAGAAAGGAATCGGCGGTGTTGATGGCACATGGGCTGGTGGGGCAAGAAGCTTTGGTGACCGCATGCGTGTGCTCGCTGGGTACAGAGGCTGTGAAGGCTCCATCTCTAGGGCCAGGGACAGGAAGGTGGCCTTGTCACAGAGGCAGGAAGGGGGGGAGAGAAACAGATTTGAGGAAGGGCTGGCTCTGTTTGGGGTCAGTGAGGGGCTGCAGGAGGGTACCCCACAGACACCGCTCTCCTTGTCCGGGGCTCCCCCACAGCCTGGGCTTTCCGCCCCCATCTGCCTCCCTCCTCAGCCCAGAGCTGGTCTCGCCCAAGCCAACAGAGCAGAACTGCACTCGGCCCCTTGCCAGGCTGTGGCCTCCTGCCACGGGGCGGGACTCCCCTGGTGCTTGGGCCCCAGAGGAAGGCTCGGGTGGGAAACCTAAGGAAAGATATGTTCTGGCAGAAGCATGTGCCAGCAGCCAGAGCGAGACAAGCTCTCCGGGTCATCAGATAGACTGTGCGGGATTCGGGGATTCATCAAACCCACGCAGTGCCCCCTTTGCTCCTCCACTCAGTCCCCTGCTCTCCAAAGATGCTCCCACCCTTCTTTCTTCCAGGAAAAGTGCCTTGGGAAAATTCAGATCACATCACACACACACACACACACACACACACACGAGGACATGACTCTGTTCTCGCTCTTCCCCTTCCCTTTCTGAATTTGGAGAATCCAGGGAAATACCTGGGAAGAAAGGCCTTCTGTAGAGAGCCAGATAGGTGAGAAATCCAGGCAGGGCAATAAGGATGGCAATCAGTACTCCTATGCTAACTACTGCGGCCCTACCTTTACAGAACATATTCCACTGTGCCATGTCTCTAGACCAGCTCTACTTTGCCCGCCCTGTACCCCTGCACTCTGGCTACCGCTGCCCTCTCCCAGGCCTGTACCTCTGCGGAAGTGGGGCCCATCCTGGTGAGTGGCATCTGATTCCACCTTTTCTGGGGACAGTGAGGGCCCTTGGGAGATCAGAGATCTGTGGACAGACAAGGAGGAGGGGCAGAGAGGCAGGGTGTGGCATGCAGAGCCATCCCCAGGATCAGAATCCTCAGTGCGCCCCTGCCAGGCTGCACAGCCTCAGCCTAAGGCACCACCCTGCCCTGCCCTGCAGTTCTCTCTCCCAATTCTAATTTGGGGTTGTGTGTGTGTGAGAATTATCAATGTTCCACCTTCTGGAGACAGAAAGGACCAATAAAGTTTTCAACTTTAAAATTCCTCCCTAAGACAGCTTCAGGTCGAACTGACCTCACCAAGGCCACCTTGTCCCGGAGGTGCCCTGTCTGAGCTGCGGGCCTTCTGTCTTCCTTACAACCCTATTCTTTCTTGCATTTCTGCTTTGCCTGCAGAGGGCTTCCTCATCTGGTAGGTGGGCTCACAGACTGGGCCTACAGATGACTATGGACCATAGCCTTCCCTCCTTCCTTCTCCCTCCCCCTCCTCTCCCCCCATCCCCCATGGACAGAAGCCTTCAGGGAGCCCCAGTCTGCTGGGCATTTGCCCCAGCCCCACCTCTGCCTCTCCCTGACTGGTGTTCTGAGCAGAGCTTTGGTTCTAGGAGGCGGTGTTATGGGTGCCGCCGGACGCAATGCAGCCCATGTGGTCTTTGAGGACCTCAAGAACATGTGATGCTGGGCCAACAAGGAGAAGAACTCATCCCAGAATTTCAAAGACCCCGAACTGGGCCACCACCCAGAAAGCTCTGCTCCCAAGAAAGCTGTATGAGGAAGCCATCTATAAGCTGAGCCCGTGTCAAAGCAGCGTGCCAGTTACCCTGTGCCCCAGGCCTCCCGAACAAATTGGGTTTGTGTTATTAAAAGCAATGTTTTGTCGGACACTTGTGTGGCTCGTGCCTATCATCTCAGCTACTCGGGAGGCTGAGATTTGAGAGTCGAGGTTCAGAGCCAGCCTAGGCAGACAGATCCAAGAAGAGACTCATCTCCAGTTTACCAGCAAAAAGCTGGAATGGAGGTGTGGCTCAAGTGGTAGAGAATCAGCATTGAGCACAAAAGTCAAATAGGAATGCAAAGTCCTGAGTTCAAGCCCCAGGACTGGCAAGAGAAGGAAAAGGCATTGCTTCATACAGATCATTGGCTTGCATTTTTTTAAAACACAACTGTGTCAAAACAGGTGGCCAGATGAACTCATCAAGTTTCTCAGTGTTCTATCAGTTTGAAACAGTCCATTTGACCAATGACAGGTCCATGCATCCTCCCCTCTTTCGCTTGGGCCCTACTTCAGCTGATTGGAGGACTACCCTGCCAAGGCCCAAATAACGTTCTCATCCATGTAAGAATGGACCACATCATCCACAGGAGCATGGAGCTGAATGAGGCTTGGTACCCTGAGACATCAAAACCTCTGGCTCCGAAAGGCACTGTGGGATCGCACCTGTAATCCCAATAGTTGAGAGGCTGAGGCAGGAGGATCATTCACAAGGCCAGTCTGGGCTACATAGGAAGGCTCAAAAAGAAAACAAACAAACAGCCAATAGAAAACCTCCAAGAAACAGCAATCAAGGAAAGCGTGTACCAGAAATTCAGTCCCTTGAATTCAGTGCCAACTCAGAAATAGAGCAAAATTTTGGTAGAAAATGAAATATAGGTTTAAGTGAAGATAATACACTGTTATTTCTCGGGGTGGGGGGGATGAGGTTTTATTATTATTTTTAATCCCTTGGGGCCACTTGTTCTCTCGTGTGAGTCCTGGTGTCAGTCTTCTGAGCTGTATTCCTTGCTGTCCTGAATGTCCCTTCACTCCCGAGGTCAGTGACACAAGGATTGGAGCACCGTGACTTGACTTGGGCAGTAAAGCCCTTCTTGAGTTTCCTCACATGATTGAAGGGTAGGGAGGTGGTCAAAGAGAAAGAAAGGGAAAAATGTCTTTAAGTGACTTCAAACATGCCTAACTAAAGCAGGCTAGTCAGGTAAAGTAAATTAACAATTGGACCAACCCAAGAGTTGTGACCATAGTTACATGGCTGCCCTTGTCCCTCAACTACAAAGTAGATTCCAGAACATTGTGACTCTTATTTCCCATAGGCTAAACCTGCCATGTCACTAAAACCTCTCAGTATAAATCTGGGACATTATAGAACGAGTTAAGTTGAAAAGAGTCAAGAGAAATGTCCTCTTGCTAACGCACCTTCCTCTTCCCAGCCACCTTCTCCAGTGTCAGGACCAAGGTCCCTGTCAGCAGCAGCAACTCCTCTGGCAGACAAGCTAGAAGCTGCTCTGGGCATCTCCTCCTTTCTTTCCTCAGGCACATGGATGGGGAGACGCTGTATCTACCTCCCTGGTTCCTGTTGAGAAGCCTGGAAGTCTCCTGTGTAAAGAGCTGCATTAGTCTAGCTTCAGCCTTCTGGGTCATGCTTTAGCCTCACATCTGGAAGGTAATAAGCACCCAGATCTCAGCGCTGCTCATTTCATGGCAAAGATGCTCCTGTCACTGGCATTGTGCGAGGCAGGCTTCTCACGCAGCACTGCGTCCGGCACCCCCGGAGCAGCGGGGTAGCACAGGGCACAGAGAGCTTCAGGTCCCTCCAGCTTCTCCTGAGTTCCTCCCCCTTCAGCACATGTGCAACCAGCGTCTCATGCTTGTTGAAAACTGAATTTGGGCCCCAACTGCTGGTTTGCTTGGATTTACTTTTCTCTAAAGACTACCCAGGGGCCAAAGGGAACAAATGATTAGAAAGAAAGGAAGGAAGAGAAGGAACACAAAGGAGAGAATGAGAGGGAAGGCAAAAAGGCCATGGGGTGGGGTTGAAAGGGGGAGAAAGGGAGGAAAAGGAAGAAAGGAAGGAAGGCGAAAAGGAAGAAAGAAAGGAAAGGAGGCAGGCAGGCTGGGGTCTATATCTGACTAATATCTAGCATCTTCACATTCCAGCACACACCCTAGACCACCTCTAACACAAAAGAGAGCAGGAGTGAATTAACCAAATTGGAACTTTGGAAATCCCCAGGAGCCAAGGAAGAATCACATCAGACCTGCTCCTTAAAAATATCAGTGAGCTGGGTCCTGGTGGCTCACTCCTGTGATCTTAGCTACTCAGGAGGCTGAGATCTGAGGATCCCAGTTCAAAGCCAGTGCAGGCATTAAAGTCCTCATGAGACTCTTACCTCCAATTAACCATTCAAAAACTGGAAGTGGCGCTGTGGCTCAAGTGATAAGAGTCTAACCTTGAGCACAAAATGGCTCAGGGATAGTGCCCAGGCGGTGAGCTCAAGCCCAACTACTAACAAAATCAAAATCAAAATCAGTGATTCTTTTTTCTAATGAACAAAAATCATGAACATGGAACCTTTTTTAATATAACAAGAAACATAAAACACATACCTAATCTCACCTGCTGAGATAAACCCTGGTTACTATTTTATAATATTTCCAATTAGCCTTTCAAACAGTTGAGATATATTCTATATGGGGGCTTTACATCTGTCTTTCATTTTATTTCATGTCATAAACGCCTCAGTGTCATAAACTTTTTTGGAAAACATTATCTTTAATTGCTGCCTCATATTCTCCTATAAAGATGAGCCAGAATTTATTATGGAACCTTGAGCTTGACTTTGGCCTTGATTACTAATTAGGACCAGCCAAAGGCCTAACAGCTCTTCTGTGATGGTTACCCCTTCCTCCACAAAGCCTGTCTTCTCCATCTTGGATGACAAGGTGCAGCTGTTTTCTAACAGAGGCAGGAGTTGGAGGAAGTGAGGGAGAGGGAGTGGAGTGAGCACTGCAAGGAAGAATTTCCCACTGTTCAGAGATTTCTCATCGGTGAAAGATAGCATTTGGTCCAGATGGGGAGACAAGATCAGGCCCGGCACTGTGGGGGGGCAGGGCTCCTAGAAGGCCTCAGCTCATGCCAACCCGCTGAGCCGTGTGGTTAGTCTTAACTAAAGTGATGACTCCACACATTGGCTATGAATCAGAAAAACAGGTCCCTGCCTGCCTCCAGTGCATAAAACTCTTTACCAGGATAAGTCAGGGCCCTGTCGTTACCTGATTTATAGTTACCTGTCTCCGTGCAGCAGTCCTGGGGGAGCCTCAAGCGTGCCGGAAGCTCACGTGGGTAAGTCATTATGCTGGCCATTACCTGGCAGCCTCCTGCCATGAAGGCCCTGGGTGATCGTGACCAGAGGCTCCAGAGACCCGTGAGGCTTTCAGCTGGGGGAGGGATTTGGCTGTCTTGGTGGGAGGAACAACAGATGTGGCTAAGCAGCTGTGGGCCTTGTGACTTTGTGAAGCAGCTGACAACTCTTGAGTTCTTCTGTGGGACATTGTATCACCCCTGTGGGATGCAGAGAGGGAGACCAGCTGAGCACAGGGACACATTGGTGGGGCAGGGGGTGGGGTGGAGAAGAAACATGGAAAAAATTTAAAGGAACACACACTTTTTTTTTTAAGGGAGAAATGCACATGGACAGTAAACCTGTGGGGAAAAAATTAACAGCATAAGGAATGCAACTAGAGGCCAAATAATCATGTTTTACCTATAAAATGGAGACAATTATTTATAACAGAAAATCGCCAGTAGGGTTGAAAAAGACACTCTGTGCTGGCATTGCCAGCCAGAACATCCATTGTGTTTTGATGTTTATTTCACATCTGATCCCAAAAAGGATCATGATATCACCAAGGATTTAAGTGCAAAGATAGTCATGCAGTGTTATTTGCAATGCCAAAATATTGGAGACAGCCTAAATATCTGCCAAAAAGAGAATTGTTTAATCATGATATGCTATCTATGATGGAATATCAAATGGCAATTTTTAAATTACATTTTTGACAATCCTTTTTTTTTTGCCCGTCCTGGGGCTTGAACTCAGGTCCTAGGCACTGTCCCTCAGCTCTTCAGCTCAAGGCTAACGCTCTACCACTTGAGCCATAGCGCCACTTCTGCCTTTTTCTGTTCATGTGGTACTGAGGAATCAGACCCAGGGCTTCATCATGCAAGGCAAGCACTCTACCACTAAGCCACATTCCCAGCCCAACAATCCTTTTTTAATCACATGGAAAAAAGTTAATAAAGAGCAAGATGTAGTATGATCACAATGTTGGCGATTGAGAGATGGTAGAGATAAATGACATGTTCATATATACTTAAGATATACATATGTACGGGAACAGAAACAAGGAGAGACAGTGAGAAAGACAAAGATGGAGAAGAAACGGGGAGAGACCGTGCACACCCCAGTATGAGCAATAGCCTGAAGTTTTCCGGCCACTTGGTGACAGTGTGGGGAATAGTCCTTACTATCCTCATGGAATCCAAAAAGCAACCCCAAAGAAAATAGATGGGCCTTGGAAACTTTGTTCGCAATGGTTACCCGGGCCTGTTCCAAGTGATTTGTGACTTCTCTCTGCCTTGGCATATATTTTTATCAGAAGATTTCAGACACAGTGCCAGCCTTGGAGGTCCTTGGTGGAGATGTGGGGTTCTACTCGCAGCTCGGAAGGGAAGCTGGCAGGCTGCTGGTGCTGCTGCAGCCCAGCAGGAATCCTGTAGTCTTGGAAAGAGGCTACAGAGGTAGACTCACCCAGACTTCCTCTGGTTTTATCTGAGTTCTGTCAGCTCTGAAAATCAAGTTATCAGATCAGCAGCTTGGTTGCTGATTACGTAGGCCTCTGACTGATAAAAGAATTGGAAGATGAATTAAATGATACTGAGCAAAGGATATTTGCTTAGTATGCACAATACCTTCCAAAGCAATGCTTCCCTTAAGCAAAAGTAACAAAGGAAGCTACAATGGGAGAAGGTATTTGAGCCAGATTTCTTCTACATACTTGGTACACATTGGCCTTTCTTTCTTTTT